TATTTATTTATTTATTATTGTTATTATTATTATTATTATTTATTAATGATATTTTGATTAGCTAAAACAAAATTTCTGTGTCCTTATCGCTGCTAATTAAAGACCTAATCAAAACATTTTCTAATTACTGTTACGAACTAATGATATTTTGATTAGTCAAAACAATCCCACGCTCTTAGCGTTACTAATTGACAATCTAATCAAAATATTTTCTAATTATTATTTATTAATAGTGTTTTGATTAGTTAAAACAAATTTTTTGTGCTCTTATCATTGCCAATTAAGGATCGAATTAAAAATATTTTCTCAACCGATATTACTGTCAATCTATTTTAGGATGATCATAAGATTATGATGTTAAAGAATAACGAATTAAGTGAGCTAAATAACAAATCTATCAATGCCTAATAAATTAATAACATTTTATAATAGAAAAAGTTTCTCGTACTAAAATAAATGGAAAATACTTGACCGAATTAAATGACTGAAATCGGGTACAAATATATTATTTCTAAGCTTTGGAAATACCTCTTCCTCGATGTTGGAATATATATTTTCTACAATGACTTTTTTCATTCAATGCAATTGAAACATTTCACACCAAATTCTACATAATTTTGAAGCTTCTCTGTTCAGTAATTTCAATTGTTATCATTTCTTGAGAACGGACTTTGCAATGTGATTTTTAATAGTACAATTTCTTCCGAGAGAACAATGCAGCTGATACCTTCAGACCATCTTTATAATATAATTTTTTTTTTTCTAGATCTACATATCGTATATCCGGTCATCATTAATAATGACATATTATTCCCCCATCAATAATTCAACTTATGCAAATAAGACCATTTACTTGTAACCACTTAGCGCCCCATTGTTAAGAAATCAAATTTTAAAATGCGCGGAATTTTGGTAGATGTTAACTTCTTGTACTTTTTCACATTATCTTCACTTTTGCTTAAACTTATCGCTGGCAATATTTCCTCCCTATTAATTTAATACGAAAAATAGCATGATTAAATTACGAGATCAGTAACCAGGGATGCTACCTTTTTAAGATTTGTGAGGAAAGAAATATTGCTAGCAATAATTTTATGATGATTTTGGCATGTGATTTCACGACGAGAAAGAATCACTGCAATCATTCATGCATCATTAAAAATTGAATCTAATCACGTTTAAAATCATAATGCATTTATATGCAAGCAATCAAACAACAATACAACATAACAATTGATTTTATACGAAATAGAAAAAAGTAGGAAAAACGAAAAAAGTTCAAAAAATGGTTCCAGATGTTTGAGCAAAAATTTAAAAAGGTAGCAAATGAGCATATAATTGAAAATTATACTATTGTATTATCTTTGAATAAAATATATTTTCTGCATAGAAATATATTTATTCAAAGGGTAATATGATAGTATAATGTCCATAAAATATTTTGCATGAAATTTAGATCAAATGATTTTGCTATCTACACAAAAAATAACTACCGGTAAAACCCTATCTCAATGAAGTTATGTTTAAGTCGCAATCTCCAAAAATGAAACTGAACTGAATAAAATGATAAAAATAAAAAAATAAAAAAAATTCAAAATAATAAAGCAATTTTGCAAGATGAACCCGTTTGATAAGAAAATAAAAACTGAGCAACATTTTAAATACAATGTGCAGTATCAATTTATCATTATTATAACAGTGTAATCCATCCAATAATAGATTTACCCGAAGAACTATAAATAAAGTTACCGATGTATTTGGGTAGAATTTAAAAGCGTACGTAAAACTCAACGTAAAATCTATTATTCCTTCTCAAAATCTATTATTCCTTCTGTAATCTTCGCACATAACAATAACAATGACAATACATAGTAAATGTTCATTTTTTATAAAAAAAGTGTGTTAATATTGTTCATTGGCTTTTTGATGCAATCCTTATAGTGGAAAATTGAATAAAAAAAGAAACTGTCCCGAGAGAACAGTCTTGAAAATTCCTCTTCTACTATTTTCTCTCTTCATCATTTCAATTTATTGATGAGCTAATACGCACCAAACTCATCCAAGCAGAAGAAGCAGCACAACGAACTAATTCATAGAATTGCTCTTGTACTGTATGGTGCGCTTCCATCAACAATAACCCAGATTCATTGCACTTTCGCTCCTTAAAAAAAGAAATAAAAGAAAAAACAATAAATGAAATTCGAATTAAAACTATAATTTTTTGGAATCAATTCCATCTTCATTTGTTTACTACATTTAATAAGACTGTAACTACTGTCATTGTTTGTCAATTGAATGAAATTTTTTAGCAGCATCCTCTATCTGTAAATTTTATGAACTAAGTTTCTTTCACCAAATTTCTTTCACCTCCAAATTTAAGTTAAAGAAGATATAAGAAATGCCTTATCTTTTTCCTTCATTGTCATTTATAATTCAAAACAAATTTCATTCCTAATAAAAGGTCCGTAGAAAGAAGTATATTTCAGCTGCAAGAAGACAGAAAATACCTTTGCAAGCAATTTCATTTGTAAAGGTTCATCCTTTTGGGCTGTGAAAAGAAATACGTCCTGTTGAGCTTCAGGAGTGATGATCACGAGATGCTGGAAATAGATATTGTACTATTAAATTTAACGCTTAAATTTATTTCAGTGACAAAAAGAAGATTGTTGATTCCAAAAAGAATTAGAAGCGTGACTGAACAAACTTTTTCAAAGCAATCCATATACTCAGATCAAAAACAAATATATTTCACTTAACTTGTCAAGACTGTGAAGTTACTGAATTAACTAACTGGAATATAAATTTGAATAAAACTGTACAGGGTATAGTAAACTTTGTTGATTTAAAATCATCGTTAACAACCGTTAAATCAACGTAACCAAAATCAATCTGCTGTAGTTTTGTTTCCGGATCTTTAAGTTTATCTTTAGAAATAAAAGCAATTACTTTTCTTTCGATAAGTCTTAGATCTTTAATTTTAAGATCCAGATCAAAATTTAAAATTTCCATTTGGAACATTTGCAAACCGGTAAGTAAGTATTCAAGTAATGATAGTTTTTCTTTTTTGTTTCTTTGTATTATCCACTTATGTATTATAAAACACTGCCACTTTGATCCTGAACAAAACTCAACTACCAAGACCTCCAAAGACTGAATTTGGAATATTTGATAAGCTACAAAAATTTTATTGTAGTTTCACCAAATAAACATCAATAATTTTAAAATAAATACCTCTTTTACGGATGAACAGAATAATCGACATTTTTGCAGACCAAAATGTTGAATAAGCAACTTGAAGAAGACTCCAGGATTCAGATTACTAACTAGTGAATCCAATAACGGTTCGTAAATATTCAAAGATTCAGACTTAACATAACCCAATAAATTATCCAGATCCGAAGTTGTAAGAGATGTTGAAAGTGCTAGGCGCAACACCGAGGTTACATCGTTACTGTGACGAGTTAATAACTTCCACTGTTCGGTCATTTCAATGGTTTCACGTTTTGTTACATGCTTTTCTAATATGTCATTCCAAAGCTGAAGTAAAAAGTAAGAAAAATAAAGTTAAAAGGTAGAAACTCTTTCCTTTTTCTAACAGTTGTCCTATGTAAAACTAAATTATGACGAAAAAATCTCATGTCCTATAATGTTTCTGTATCAAACGTTAGATTTAGACAAAGGGTATTGAGCGGAATTTTTTTTACTTGTCCACTTCAAGGATTATACCAAATTACAAGCTTAACACACTTAACAGGCATCATTAAATCTATATTAGAAAATATTACGCGAAATTATAGAAAATCTGTAAACTTGAAAAAACACATGAAGTAAAACAAAAAAAGAATAAATTTACCTGATTCCTTTTGCAATGCCATACCGCATCCTCAACTACCATTTGTAGTTTTCGCTTATAATGCATCACGCTATCCTCCAACTCTTTTTGCAATCTCTTCTGTTGTGTATTCATGTAATAGACGTAAAATGCTTGCTCACGAGGTACTATTGTTGCTGGATCCGACAGCCTAACACCGTCTTCAAAAAATTTATTCGATAAAATTATATTTATCAAACTTTACTTGCAAATTTCCTTTTCAAAAAACTATGCAATATATTGGTATAGCTGACAATTATGCAATGTTATAAAGAAGCTAAATCAAAGCATGAACCGTTTAACAAATGTTAAATATTGTGAAAATTCCGAAAATCTTGTTGCAAAAACACACACACCTCGAAAATTTGGTCGTGTTCTGCGATGTCTTAAAGGTGCAATATTTTGAATGGATAATTTCTTTTTTTTTTCCTTTTCCATCTCTGCTTTTTCATTTCCACTTGATAATGACCAACACTTATTTAATTCCACTCCTACAATATTTGATAGACTTTTTAAAATGAGTTTTAAATACAAATCCAGTTAAGAAATCAAAACTGAGACTAATCAAATAAAAAAATTTTTTTTATAAAATCTGTCTGTTTTATAACTGTTTTATAAATGTGTTTTTTATAAAATCTGTCTTAATGCAAAGATTTGCAAAAGATTCTTTTTAATATATTATTTTAGTACTATACTTCTTTTTTTGAAATTGGTAAAATTCCTTTTGTTAAACTAAGTTATAGAAGAAACTAAACAGATGCAAAAATATTTCTAAAACATTTGTCTGCAAAAAAAGCATTCAACCATTCTATTTGATTAGATTATAAGGCCTAAGCGAGCGCCAACATATTGGATTATGATAATATGAACACATAATTTTTTAAAATACTAACCATTTGAATAGTTGCGCGGAATTGATGCTTCTTTTGTTGACCTATTATTCTCTCCACTGTGACATCTTCGCCTGGTAAAAATAACAGGTGCATTGTTGGCACTGCTACAACAATTTAAAATTGATAAATGTTAAACAATGATAAATGCCTAATACTAAGCAAAGAAGATTTTAAATTTCGAAAAAAATGTAAATTTGAAATTGAACTGTAATCGAAAGCTGAATAAAGAGATGGATGCATTCTAGCTTATTAAAAATCGACACTAAATCCTTTCAGAAGAAACTCTAGCTTTACAAATGTCCTGAAAGAGAAAGAGCAAGAGCAAATAAAGTAGGTATAAGCACAAATTAATAATTATCTATTTTCAACTAATGTTTTGAGTCACTAACATTCCATGACATATGAAACAATAAAATGTAGTTCAAATAAAACTAGAAATTGACTTACTCCTGTGCTGCAATGCCATCAACACTTTTTCGATAGTTGTCCGTACTGCAGCCTACATTCAAACTTTCAAATTCTTTAAATTCACCACTTATTTTTGCACCATATTTACATTTCGCACTTAGTTCCAAACTTTCCACTAGTGGATCAACTAAATAAATTTAACTAAATTTCATAAACTGTGGAATTCAGAAAACATTTTTTCACACTTGACCCTTGCACAATTTCACGCTTGCACACACAATTCGAAAAAAAAACTCACTTTTTTCATGCGAAACCAGCATCACATAGAATTTTATATTCAATGTTTTTGTGATGTAAGGTTGATTTTCATGAACTATTGCTCGAATTTCCTTATAGCTTAATCCAAAACAATTCTGAAACTTGCCGTTATAAAAGAAGGAAAAAAGAAAGGAAGGATTTAAAGAAAAGTGAAAAAATTAAAAAAAGTATTTACCGTATCATCCTCCGTAACAATCATAAATTGCCCAGGCATATCCATTTCAACTGTCTTCAAACGCACAATGCGCCAATTGTTATGTTTTTCATTCAATAAATACTCCCAAACTTTCTGGCTTGTTACAGGTAAGTTAGGAAATGTCATCTGGAAATTATGAAAAGATTTTAAAGAATTAACATTTCAGCGTGTGTTTTCTGCATATTCACAAAGCTATCATGTCTCAATCCTACTTTTACGATTGCTAAATAACAAATAAGCAGTAAATTTGGTAAATTTGACAAAAACAACCAACTTTTTCTTCGTAAATACAGCTGCAAGTATAAGGGGGGCGACAATTATAGTATTGCAAAAAATCTGTTAAAAACTCATTCGTATTGTATCCGTAATTGAAAAGAACCTGAAAATAACATACAAATGACAAATAGTATTATCTGATTTATTTTTCCAGTATTATCTGATTTATTTTTCCACTTCACTTGCGTTCTTAAATGTCCAGAATATCTCTGAAGATATGACACAAAACTTCTCATTTTTGCTGAAATTTATCATAAAAAACACTGAAAATTTGAAATAAAATTTAATATCTCATCCCATACATCTTTGTATTGATTTAATACCGTATCCTTAGACCTTTTAAAGGCTTTAATTATAATGTATTTAACCTTGTCTCCTAAACTATAAATAAATTTCTGTACCTGTTGTCCACCGATTAAATAGGTGGCAACCATACGTAAATGAAAATCATAAGTAAATGAATGAACGTGAGCCTTTGATATAATGCTATCTTTCAACATATAAAGCTCCCTTTGATCGTTATAATCGAAGTTGTTGTCACAATTTATTTTCAACCGATTTAACTGTGCAATATCCCATAATAAATACTGGACACTGAAATTTTGTAACATAAATTTGAACGAATGCCAAAATAACATTCAAAATCTCATAACATTAGTGCCAAAATATGTGAGATTATAACAAAAAAAATCGCTGAAGGATTATTGCATGAATTTTTTCTTCAAAAACTCGTGTATTTAATAGATTATTGCATGAAAGAGATCAAAATAAACTTAATTATCTAATTCTATTCTAATCTAATCTAATCTAATTAAAGAAATTTAGTAGTAGAAAATCGACAACGGCTGGTTTCGATCTGCAAATAGAGCAATTACTTAGAGGATTTCTCTAAAATCTTTCTGAAGCAACAAAATTTAATGTCAGTTTGAACAAACCTAAAATGTGGTTCAATAATCGTAATATGAACGAATAAAATGCCACCATCACAAGCTTTATACATCCAAACATTAGGTGATGATTCGGTATTCTGGAATTTAACAGAATAACATGACCAATTATTATCTAATAGTATTTTCAAAACGAAAAATCATTTTACTCTGTTGCGCGCTGAAAAAAAAATGCAAATTAACTAGAAAGGATTTATCAAAAAATCTGAAACCTAATAGTTTGAAATCAGGTAATTTGAAACTGAAATAAATTTAGTAGAATTCGCTATCTAGAAAATAACCTGCATATCGTAGTGCAAATCGTAACGGGCACCTGCATGTCCTGTTATGGCGGTAGTAGTTGTTACATTCAACAGTTGTAGTCCATTTTTCGTTAAATATTTCACATAACTCTGGAAAAATAAAAATGATCCATGCCATCCACCTTTCAAAATAAGAAATTGTTGATAACACTTGTACTACTATACAAATGATCAAAACTCCAGAATTTAATTAAATACGACCTTTCACAATTTGAATAAACAAAAATTACATTTCAGTATAACTTAAATGATTGAGAACTTGTAAATAAAATAATTATAACCCATATTATTCAATTATTCGAGACTCAATTTACTCTTAGTAATAAGCATTTGAGATTCCAAAAATTTTTTGCCAATATTTTTCAAAAATTTTTCGAAAAACACCTAAGAGAAGCATTTACCTCAACAAGCATAAACTGTATCTTCAAACAACATGGCTCATCCTCTTCTAAACTTTTTTTAGACTTTCGTAACGTATAATCGGATGAATATAATGATGCACCGAAGGTATTTGAACGTTTTGTGCGCACCTATAAGAATACAACGATAATACTTGACGGAAAAAATAAAAAAAGAATCAAATCATTTCAACTTATTCGACTCTTTCATAGTTAATTATCCGTTTCTTCTCTTACTTCAATCAATACATTGAAAATTTTAAACCGCCTCCGCATAGGAACGATTAGCAAAAGATATCTTTCAAAAAGTGATATTGATTAGCTTTGAATTATTTTCAAAAGTTTTCAAGTTAGATCCGAGTTCTGTCTAAAAAATTAATGAGATTTCTTGAAAGATCCTTTTGATCATTATACCCTCGATCAAACTTTAACTGATAATGGAATACTCATGCTAACAGGAGAAATGCTCTTATATTGAATATCTGCTATGATATTAACTGTTATAAATCGATCTACTCAACGCGTCCCGAAATATATCAACAAAACCAACTTCCAAAAAAGATTTGAAAAGGATTATATTTCATTACTAAGCAAAAAATATCATTGGATGGATTTACATGTGATATTGATGAAGGATTTTCGAGAAAAGTCGTTTTTGAGCCACTGACATGTCTCGAAGATGAACCCGTTACAGCTGCTGGTTCAAAACTGAAGTGAAAGATTTTTTAAAAAAAATCTTTTTCGAGACTCAATTTATTCTTAGTAATAAGCATTTGAGATAGTTCCTCAATAAAAATTTCCAAAAATTTTTTGCCAATATTTTTCAAAAATTTTTCGAAAAACACCTAAGAGAAGCATTTACCTCAACAAGCATAAACTGTATCTTCAAACAACATGGCTCATCCTCTTCTAAACTTTTTTTAGACTTTCGTAACGTATTTTTCGAAAAATTTCTGAAAAATATTGGCAAAAAATTTTTGGAAATTTTTTAAATGACAGACGAAAAATTAATTTACTGATAAAAAATAATATTTATATGATAGGCTCTGAAAACAATTATTTTCCATCGAATTCACAGATTGATTTTCTGTTTAAATTTGAAAATCAATTGGAAAGATTAAAGACGGATCCTGTTCTTTTTCTATATTGTCAAAATTTTCCCTTTACCAAAATCACAACTTATTACAATTAATGGTTGGATCTACTAAAAAATAACATAAATATTCTTACCTCATCGCATTTTCAGTTCCTCCTCGAACAACTGCTACTAATTTACGCCATTTCGGAAAAAGCAACAGAGGTGATCTAATAAAATGTACCACCCGGCTACGAGAAATAATTTCCAGCAAATCAGATTCTTTGATTTCCTGGGCGCCATTCATCAGTTCGCTGTGTATCCGATTGAATTTCTCACAATCGTGAAGCATTGATTTCACCTATTGTTTATAAAATGAACCTAAATGCCAGAGCACTGAAGCAAAACAATTTATCCTCTAAATTAAAAGCTTGAACTTGGGCCTTCAACCTTGAAATTCATTTAAAACATATTAAAATATGAAAATAAAAATTCACTTGGATCTTCACCTACACTACAAAAATATATCATAATTTCATTTCAATCTCTTTTTTCTAATAATACATTTATTGAAGAATTTGCAAAGTTCCCAGGGCCTGAGTTTTATTTCTTATCGAGATCTGAATATGAAGAAAAAAGAGAAAAAAAGAACTCGAATAGGAAAAATCTTAAAAAAATGCTTACAACAGTGGGCATTTAAATTATCAAAATTTGTATTGCGAACAAAAAAATCGTTTTCCAATTGCGATCAATTTTTCGTATTAAATAAAAAAGCCATAAAATCACATACTTCAAATAAACTGTCTCTCCATCGCATTAAGATTAATTTTTTTCTAAATTTACAAATATTTATCAAAATTAGTGACTATAACAAAGATACCTGTTTCTCAAGAAAAACCATTTGAAAACACTGATCTTCGAAAAGATTATTGCTTTTCAAATTAAGCGGCAAAAAAGCCAAGGATGTGTGCCGATAAAGATGCATTAAAGGTTCAGCTCGGATGTGGTGCACTCTGCTCACTAGCCTAAAAAACGCACTTCTAATGCATCATATATTCCATTCATATATTTACACAGCAACAAGTATGGATATTTCAAATATGGTTGTATATATAATAATCTTACAAATGTATTTCAAATGTGCGCGGAGAAGTATATCTTCTAAATCAGAACAAGACATCAAACAAGAGCATTTAGCTGCCTTACAAGGTGTTATAAGATAGCAGAAGTTATAAGAGTTAGGATTCATAATTACAACTTGCCAACCTTATTTCGATTAAAAAATTTGGCCTTTCTTTGAAGATTGAAAATCATAAAAAAGTTTGTCAGTTTGTCAATCAGGAGGATCTTTATAAATGATCCAGATTATAAATCTTAAAAAGCTTGACAACAGATTAGACTATTTCCAAACTTATGCTAATCTCTAGGAATTCAAAAAAATTATAATGATAACGAGATAAGATAGTTGCTGCATTCAGTGCTTCTAAAGTATTATATGTTATAAATAGTTTCTGGAAATATTTCCGTTTTCAAAAAGCACTTTTCCAAATCACTAAGCAGACGAATCTATCATTTGTTAATTACTTGTATTGCGATATGTTGCTTTAAAGATTTCTTTCGGTCATCGCAACTATCAGTGATAACGTCACTGCATTGAATTTACTTTTAAATGTCCTGGAAAATTTTGGGATACCATAAGTTTTCAGAAATATCTAATTCCTCAATAATCAAAAGTTAAAATTTCGTTTTTAATCAGAACGGTACCTTTTATCGAAATGTATAGATCCATGCTGTGGTATTTCATATTCACTCAACAGCTCACTGTTCAACCAAACCAATTCTTCACCTGTTGGAGTGATTCGACCGGATAAATGTGTAACACCCATTTTATGCAAACCAATTTCTCGAAGTAGTCGTGATCGGGCATTTTGCCATGATAATACATTTGCGACCATTTGATAAACCTGTTCGGCGGCATCGGACGAATAATTGTATAAATATAGGGTAGCCTAAAAATTGAACTTGCTTAGCAAGCTAATAAATTAAAAACAATAATTCGCAGTTCAAGAATTGTAATGTGCAATACAGAATGAAGTAGTTTATAACTTTATTAGAAGTTTTATCAAAATTTTTTATTAAAGAAATATTACAAAATGTATTTTTGCTGATTACTGCCATGTTCAAATCAAGAAAATACACAAGGATAATTATCATAAAAAATGTAATTTTGCATGTCATAAATTTATCTTACGCTTGAATTATTCTCATATTATGCAAAAAAAAGTGACACAGGAATTACCGTTTCACCCTTCGACAACAGATATAACAGATGCTGTCTTGGAACAAATGGAGCTATTTGTGGCAAAAAACGCATCGAGCTGGCTGAAAAATAAAGTAACTGACAGTAATTTTCAAAATCTAGGAAAAAATAATTATGATTCTCATTGACCACAGATATACAAGCAGTAGTGTTTATTCAGAGAAAACTCTCTAGCACTACCATCACCTCAAAGTTATGACAAATTAATAACTTAAAATCAATTCATTCACTGATTGTGCACCTGGTCATTTTGAAAAGGCAAGATATAATTTTATTATAATCAATACAGTAAATGTTTGGTTTCGAAAGTAATGAATGTTAGTAAAAATTTTCGAAAACAAAATTGTTCAAACTTTTTTGATCGTGCAAGACTTCCTCCACAGCTGATGGTATAATGTTTGAGCGTGAATCTGCGCCATATTTCAGTACTGCCTCTGAATACCGATGGTTATAAGCAAGCATTATTAGTGAAGGTTCTTCGTTTTCTCCTGCCACTATCCGACCATTATCATCCTGAAATATACAAGAAATCTTTTTTCAAAATCAAAATCAAAAAATATAAGAATAATTTGAAATCAAATGACGAAATGCAATAATACGGAAAAACTGAAGCAAGAGAATTTCCTGAAAAATAAAGAAATCAGTAAAAAATGAATACACTGAAAGTTATGGCATCATCATTTGTCGAACTTTGTGTTGCAAAACGATTTGAACCATGTGCTTCCAACTGGCATACTACGATAGTTTCATGTTTTAGAATTACAGATAATTTTTCCTGTATTACGTTAAAGATCTGAAACATATACTGATTAGCTATGAGTTATTAAAATGTTTCCAATAAAAAGCGGCTGCAGGTAATCATCTAAAAAAAAATATTATGATTTAAATAAAATTTTGATGTTTCCATTATCTTCATTCGAAAGAATGAAGTTAAGCGATAATAAAATCTTTCAAGTCATGATTTTAATGTGGTGCTGCGTAGCTAATTCATATGAATGTAATTCATATGTTACATATTCCATTGACAATAAAGATATTTCACAGTGTTTGATATTGTTTAATGCATATACTCTCACTAAACATTAAACGAAATTTTATATTCCACCTTCTGAACAGAATGATCGCTGTCGCAATGGAATGTATGTCTTTTGACGGAAAATTGATGTTCCGTATTCTTTACTTCGGAAACGACATGATCGAACCACTGTGCAGCCACCATAATAAACTGATAATTGATTGAAGTATTTGGTTCACAATCATTGCTGCTTGAAGGATCTGACAAAGATTGTAACGAGTAATGTACACTTCGCGAAAATACGTTTTAAAAAGAACTAAATATATGTAACAGTTTCTTCCTTGAAAATCTTATTTTTTTACAGTACAAATATTCCAAAGATAGTAACTTAAATACTGAAAAACCTAAATCAAGTACTTTGAAATTAAGGTTCCATATTATTCTGTTCTAACTCATCCTTTATGATCTATCTTCTCATTGTGTTACTCCAACTGACATAACAAAATAATGAAATAGTTTCTTCCCTTTTTTGTTTGGAAAAAATAAAAAAGAAATATGGTAAGATGAAAACACTAAGAAACAGAATGCCCCATAAAAATAAAACACTTTATCCACAATAAAAGTTCGACAGTACTTTTTGATTTGCGGGAAACTGGTTGTAATGACAACTGTTCTATAAGTAGTGATTGCATATGCGATTCAACTTTTCGAAATGGTTTTGCCACTAAATTTAAATGTGAGGCATCACTGCAGGATCGTACTCTGAAAAATGAGCAAATTACTTTTAAGTCAAAGTCCCGACCAGTTACTAGCTCATATATTCAGTTTGAAAAGTAAAGCAAAACCCCTCGCTCAAATGACTGGAAAAATTTTTTTTCTAGATCAATTCATTATTCCTAAATTTTAAGTGGGATAAGGTACCTTTCTTCACTTGCAACACATGGTACGATCAGCGTATTTGAAGATGAATAACGAGTGCTGTTAACAACTTCCACTAAAGGAATACTTAAAAGGCCAAATTCACTGATCAAATCACAAAGCGCCTGAAAATTATTTGCAATCTCGAACAGAAATGCATATTATTAATCGACTGACAATGAAATAGATAATTTGGAATGAAAATATGAATAATACTAATGAACAGTTAACGATTTCATCGGGAAAACTCGATGATCACTATATAAAATTTCTTAGACTGACATACACAATGGTGTTATCCTGTAAGGGATATCAAGGAAAGTTGATGAACAGACAATCATAATTTGCATTCATTCAAAAATCACCTGTTGCAATGCTAATCGAAATATTGGTTGTAAAGATGTTAAGCCAACATCGCCCACCTGCCAAATTGTATACTGAACCAGATATGATATGCCACCTAAAGGACAATTTTTTTACCATAAAAATTTGTTAACCTGAGAATAATAAAATAAAGTATACCAAACAAGAAGACAAATCAAAGTCGTTAATGAATTCATCATCTAAAATACAAGAAATGCCTATCAAATTCCACATATTCCCAGCAACGAATTGCATGGGTTAGTATTTTTAAAAATTTACATACCTGTTTTTTCCGAAAGTAGCGAATCAGGTAAAGGAAGCGACGTGGTGATACAACGTGTCAGTTCATGAAAACGTTCATTTGATGAAAGACGAAATTTACCACCTCCTGGATATAACTTTGAGTGAGTGCTTGGACTGATGCGTGCATATTTCAGCGAATTTATGCAAGCACCGCTCGAATTTACTATGCGTGTCTCCACGCAAGCAATTCCTGGAAAAATTTTTAGCTTAATCACCAAAGCGCCCTTAATAGTTCAATATGCTTAATATACAGTAAAAGAACTTAACATTTAGAAATATTTTTAATAAACGCTTGAAAACAAAAGTTCATTGGAACGTCACCAACAAATTTATGTTACAATCTAATTTCCATTCTGACTAATGCAAAAAATGAAAAAATCTACCCGTCGCTAACAGTCACTTAAAAAGAAAGATGCAATAAATTCGTACCCATATTCGATGAACCTTTCGTGGGTGGTTTGCTTATTAGGAAGAAATGTGGAATGTAATTATTGCAAACCGGCTGAGAACCGCATCGTGAATGAAAACACGATCGTTCGTGCGACAATGGACTATTTCTATTCAAACCACCGCTATAATTCCGAAATCGAGCTTCTGCTGCGAATGTAAGCATCTGCTGGTACATGTAATAATAGAGTGAGCCCAAATAACCATAAATATAGTTCGGTAAAGTGCAGTAATGTACAGCAAAGGGTTTGGCCGGATCTCGTTGAATAAACTGAAAAAAAGGATAGAAACTTTAAAAACTTTAAAGCATGCGCTGAAAAAATTATAGCTTTGCAATTTAAGTTTATATTTTTTACCAGGAACAAGATTTTAAATCCAAGTTTATGTCGGTAACTGATTAAACTGTTTAGCCTAATGGCTTAAATGCTGAATTTAACGACTTCATGACAAAATGAGTAGCAAAATCCTCAACTCTGCATTTGTTTGAAATATAAACTATACTTCGACATCAGTTGTTGTTAGCCGTGTTCGTGGGTTTTTGTACAAAATATCTGTTAATTCTTCGAGAACTTTTAGTTCAAGCCGTTTTTGCATAGCATCCACAATTGAGTCAATTATTACGGCAGGTTGATGAATTCCATGAACAGTCAACAGCACATTATTTTGAAACTTTTCATTCATCTATAAAAACAGTGAATGCAAAATAAATTTGCACCATTAAATTGCATATAATTTCAATCGGAAATCCATTCTCAGTAATAAACAAATTTTCAACAATTGTTTGTGACTTACTCATAAATAATTGTTTGTTAAATTGGCAAGGTAATCCATTTATAAAGATTGTAGAAATATAAAAATCAGCCTCCCATATCTTAAAAGTTAGTGAATTGAATGATATTCAGTAATTAACCTCATCGATTTTAGTTGTGTCACAATGCAAGCACCTTTTTCTGAAACTTTCTTCACTAACAAAAAGCTGCATGTAAAATACATTTCGTTTGTTTTCTTCACAACAAACATATAAGTTACAACGATTTCGGACTGCAAATTGTTCGATTCCTTGGCGCAGAACATCATAACCCATTACTGAAACATTTCTCAGAGAAATCAAATGTTGAAATAAGATCCAATGAGATAGTATCAGCAACATATCGTACAGCTTTTACTCATATCTTTTCCATTATGGATATTCATTTTAATTTTTCCCTATAAAAAAAATTTTGGTCCAAAATCATAATACTCCGTTCCTATCACTATAAAAATGTTCACCTAAAGAACATCCTGCTCCTTTCTTTTCGATATGCAGTCGAGGATGTATGTAAAACCAATGATACGTTACGATTCGACAAGCAAAATGACCAGGAGGATAAAATACCCGTGCTGGCATATATGGTGTAGCATCCATTTCATCCTCATCAGAATCTGTAGAGATGTTAATATTTCATGAAAAAAACTAAATAATATGATATTTGAAGAGAAAGAAATCCAACTTAATAAGTCAGCTATGAATTCTCATTCAAAATAACGATTTCAAATATATTTCCAAGTCATTGTTTTCTGCAGAACGCAAAACAGTGATTCGAGTACAATTAAAATTCAAAGTAAGAAGAAAAGAAAGTTCCCATTCACCTAACCAATCTTTCAAACAAGAATTATTGCATTCACATACTTTGACACCTAAGAAGTAAAAATCTCAAACCAAACAGCAAGCGGTTGAGTATTCTATAAATGCTATTTATCTCTTGCAGCAAACACTGACCACTAAAATCTGATCTGACAAGTGAGTTATAGAATTAGTAATTCAGAACAGTACATAATTGAAGATTTTAAAATATTTCACATAAGATTCAACCGAAGACAAAAGACTTAGCGCGATAATCTGTTACATCTTTGAGTTATCTCACCTAAACTTATCCATCTAAAAATCATGAAGCAAAAGCCTACATGAAAAGCTAAAATCCTTCTTGGTCTTCGGTGCTGCGCGCTTATGTAACAACGAACGAGTCAATTTTGTGTCAGGGATTAAATCGTGTAAATCTGAGGGAACAAATTTATGCGATTCTGTTTCATTTTCGATTAACAAGTCGTCGCATTCGTTAGTTGAATGCATTTTTTCCAGTAAAAGCTCCTGAAAATGTTTTGAATTATTTGTTGCTAATTTCTTTAAAAACCCTCTCCATTTCAACAGATTGTTGAAAATACTATTAGCTGAATAATAGTGTCAAAAATCTAAAATGATATATTTTCGGCAGTTTTTAAGTGAATTAAAGACACGATGAACATACGGAATAAAGTGTCATGCCACTAAAATCCCAAAGAGTCATGAATTACTGTGCTTTCAACTAGCATAGTAAGTCAGTTTTACGAGCGTCAGCGTGAGGTTACGAGTATAGATGATTAATATACCAATACAGCATGATCAGAAGACATATAAATGAATGATTGGAGAAACGATGATTTTTAAATTCTCTCAAAATTACTTTGCTATATGTTAAATTATGTATATATTATGCGTAAAAAAAATGAAGAGTGTTCACGAAACTACCTGATTGATGACATGACATTCTTTTTGTACTGCTTCCAAAAGCAGTTCAAAAATTTTTTCGTGATGATGTGCATATCTAAAAGGAAAAATTTGCTAATTATAAAACTAAACTAAAATCAAAGCCCAACTAAAATCTTTTTTTCCTAGATTAATTTAAAATTTCATATACTTAAAAACCAAAAATTTACTCCTGTGGGTTAAAATCGAAAGCGAAAGAAACAGAGATGGCACTAAAAAGTGTAATCTTGCCTCTCACAAAAGAATGCTCGTATTTGTTGCATTTCAACATTTAAAATGATCCAAAAATCACGTATCTCAAGATCTTTGCAACGAGTTCGTTCTGAAATAATTGCTGAAGATTTTTGACTATAATAAATTTCAAGATTCGAATTTGGAAAATCAACGAAAAGTTCAAAGCAACAATATCTCCACTATCCTTTCCTTTGTTTTAAAACTATGAAAGTTTAAAGCTTGACTCTAATGAGGCGTAGGTGAAATTGACGATGAAGATATCTGTCGTGATATCTGATATAGAAATATGGCATATATTTTGAGGCTTAATTAATGATGGTTTTTAACATTGCCAATCTAAGATATAAATATTGGTTTATTGCTAGTGGCAGAACAAAGATATTATTCATATATCAGAAGATTTCATTATGAAAGCAAAGATCTATCTTACATCATTCAGCATTAAGCATGTATGTACCTGCAGTTCCCGAGTGATTTGCATAATCTTCAGAAAGTTTACGATTAGTTTTCAAAATCGGTACACTACTATTCCTGCAATTGATTAGCATTGTATTAAAAGGGAAATGTTCATACTAAATTTCATTTTTCCTTACTTATGATTGAACTATATATGAGATATACCAGATCAGAATTGGATTTAACAAAATTTAGGGAAGCCTATAATAGACACAGTCATACCTCCGTTTTGTTGGTTTCTCGTATGGAATCTTAGTATTCAATACTTCCATACTTGACACTTTTCTTGCTATTGTCATACTTGTTTGCTGTTCGATACGCTCCATGAAACTGCTATTGCTTCGTCGCGATGACTAAATTCAAATTGTTTTATAAGTTGTTTAAATTGTAGAAATGAAGAATACATGAACGTTCCACATGCAAATTCTAAACTCGAAAATTCTAAAAGAAATAATATAAAATACATAATAATTATATCAATTCGAAAATTTATTTGAAAAGCGAACATAGAGTTTTAGATCCAGAATCTAAAATTTATAAAAATAAAATGAAAATTCACGAAATAACAACCTTTAGTGTTATACTCGCTGCAGTGCGTAGTTGTTTTCTCAAAGTATCTTCGTAAAGATCAATATCCGCTACATGACAGCAATAAAACAAATTACTGGATTCCAGATGCGCTTCTAGTTTACAGTAGAGCAGATCAAAATTTTTAATACGCTCTTTCAAACGACGTACAGCTTTCGCTTGTTCCATTACCATGACAAGTTGCAATAATTTCACTTTAAACCGAATAGTGTCATTTTTCTCATGTTGCTAAAACAGTACTCGATTTATTCGTTAGTCGTACTGCACCTCCAAGACTCAAAATTAGTGTACTTTCATTTAAAGTCGCATTATCATGTAGCTTTATGAATTCTGGAATAAAAAGTTAACAAAAAAATCTCAGTAAACTGATTAAGCCATTAAACAACTCGCAATTATCGGTGACCTACAAGATCTGAGTGGTAACGTTACTGAACAGCTCCAAAGTTAGGCATACAATATCTATAAGATTAAATGAGTCTTCAACTTTTAATCAATCTATCGAGTAAGGTGTCCAGTAACTTGCGAGGACTATACTGCGTACTATCAGGTTTCTCTAATTTTAATGCATGCACTCAAAATTTGTTAAGTTTAATCACTTAAGATTGAGCCTATTATTAATTTAAATTTACCTCTTTGGCAATGAATGTCATTACTTTATGCAATGTGTCCAGCGTTACATCATCATATCTCGATAATACAAACACTGTTTCCATATGAAGTAAACGTGTAATTCCACATTCCAGCTGACGAACTGCTTCATTTTCCTTAAATAATTTTAAAGTTAATATAACAAACATGTCTTCGATTCATTTGATCAAGCCAGAAAACAAATAAAAGATTTACCGGACTTGGAAGTCGGCTGATAACATCAGAAGTTGTCGTAGAATAAGGACAATCGAAATCAAAGTAAGTAGTAAATTTACGAAATGATTCCGAAGAGTTATCCAGCGTTTTTGGTGAAATTGCACACGAATCAGACTGTGTTAAGGCGAATTGCCGTATAGGCCACGACAAAACATATATGTCAAACGAAATTCCGATTAAATCCATTGCTGAAAATTGAAATAATTTTGGTAAGGGTTTAAATTTCAATTTGGGAATTTTTAAAACATGTATAATTTATAATTTACAATTCAATTTCAAGCGAAATATATGTGCAAAATGATCCTACTGTTTAATCACAAGCCATTATTTTTTTAAATTTCTGAAATAGTCTATTTTTCCATAGTCAAATGAAGGAATTGTTTAATTTTACGCGATGAAATTCAAAATTCTTACATAATTTCGGCAACAGTAAGGAAAAAAGATGATATGAGATGGCCGATTATGTAATAAAGAAAGTTTCAAACTTTACCAGCAAAATTCATATTTGAAATACTGGAACACTGTTTCAATAACTGCATAACACAAGATGGTAAATGATCGATGGGGAATGTATACATGTCCATGTTAGAAAAACGCATTGCACAAGAGAAATTCAAGAATAATGGTACGGCGGAATTATCGTTTAAATTAAATGCTTCACCATCGGACAACTCCGATGCAGTAACTGATTCGAAGCTGATACTTGACTGAGTGCTTCTTGTTGTACAATCTGCGTAGAAGAGACAATAAAAATTTTATCAGTGAAATTTATTTTACAAAAATTTAATACAAAAGCCTTTCTAAATTCTTAAACTCTCTTACCATTTTCTTCTTGCACATCTTCATCCTCAATATAGCAAATTTCCAAATTTTCACAGGGTGAACTAGCGCTATTAAAATCCTTCGTTTCAGGCAAATTTATCGTTATATTCTGAAAAAAAAGAATAATATCAAAGAAATAATAATTCTAGATTAAACTATTGCTATACACCTCTACAATCAATTGTTTAACAGATCTAATTCCATCGCCAATAATTTTTCAAATGTTTTTAGAATTTCTCTGCTTTCAATCTGCGAAACCATCAGAAGTAAAACATGTAGACAGTAAATAAAATTTTGGAAATTTATTTTCCTTTAAATATTTTGATTTTTCCATCTGAATTTAAATCTTTGAATACAACTACAATTATACTCATAATCTACTTGGATGGAATTCTAGAATCACAATTATTCTTTTATTTGTTATTATATGATAATAACCATAATTATTGCTAACAGCTATCAAATTTCTACTCCATTATAGATCAATTTTACAATAAAAGCAGTGGATATACTAGTAATAGAAAAACGGATAGAAAGAATATATTCCACAAAATGTTGAAAAAAAATTACCTTATTTGTTGTGTTATCCCGAACAAAATAGAAATAGCTCGGAAAATTTGGAATTTTCCTGAAAAAAGAGATCAACCTAAACTGCGAAAAATTATAAGTTATTTCATTATCAACAGTATTTTAACTCAATATGCAGTATCATATGATAAAAAATATGTTAAAATGACTCGACTTAAAAATATATATAGTTGGTAACAACGAATTATCCCAAACAATTTACTTCTTTTTTATGTCTGCATTTTTGGTGGATGTAAATATAACAGTCTATCTTGCCGATAAGTGGGAATTTATGGTTATATAACATAATCTCGGACAAAGTCCTCATTGTCTACAGTTAGATATTTTAGTCAAATGTTTTGTTTCGATTGTTGGTTATATTTGTAATATAAAATAATAAGTGAACTGAAACCGGAAATTCTGTGAAAGAAGCTCATCAAATGCAAATCGAAAATCTTCTTGCTCTTCCTCACAGGACTTTTCATCCCCATCATTTAATCTGAAAAAAATTAAATTAGACTGTCACAAAAGTTGCATATTTGAAATGAAGAGAAAATTATCGATAAATGTGACAATATGACATATTTTACAACTCGAAATTCATAGTAGAGTTTTTGATTTGAAATGAAACGCAAAATTAAGAATTTATTAGCGAGTAACTTACCGATATAAAATATCAGCTTTAAAAAAATCATTGCCTTGTGTCTCATCATCTCCATCCGCTGCTAAATCTCCTAACTAAAATGCATCAAATTATGCATTAATAAAAGCTTACTTCAGCCTGGAATTTTGCTACATATCTAAGAATCTACTATTTATGGATGAAACTCTGCACATAGTTTCATTCATAAAAACTACATAATCCATTTATGGCTTCCATAGTTAATATTACTAAGATCCTGGAGAACAGTAATGCAAATTTTGAACATGAAAAAAATGCAACTGTAACTGGAAGTGAATATCTATATAAAAAATTTTGCATCATATTGAGTTTCTTTTTTAAGCAAGCCGTGTTTGGTACCATTAAAATAGTCTTCGCAAATTTGGTTATTGTTTATAAATCAATTACAAGAACAATTTGTTTTAAATTTCTAAAATTCTATATTCTAGTTGAAATACATATCAATTACAATATGAACTAATGCAAACCTGTTTACGTGTATTTGCAACATGTGAGCATAGAAAACGGACACATTCACTGATACCCTCAACTTCAATGTCCGATTGCTCGCAACGATCCTCTAACACTTCCACCAAATCTTCATACGGTATATAAATACCTGACATTGAAGTTCAATTCTTAAAACCATTACTGTATAAAATCAAGAAACAAAGTATTTAAACACTGTTTCTTCCTCGATTCTTGACTGTAAGAGTAAATCATATTTTTAACAAAAAAAGTAGAAGAAAGTGAATAAAAAATATATAAGTTACATGTATCCAAATAATAATTGTTATTTAAATTCAAATAACTTAAAGATAAATAAGTAAATGTGTGAAGATGACATTTTCTTCCAAACATGAAAGCACTATCAGGATGTCTTAAGCGTCAATAATTTCTTCGACCACATTATAGTGAAAATAAAATACCTTGTAATAAACATTGATATACCGCTCCAATAAGTGCTCGAGAAAACAGTTGGTCCTCAATAACTTCACAGTAAGAGTGTAGGTCGAAGGATGTATGGACGCGATTTTCGGTTGGACTTATTCGAGAAGTTGACAACCAATGTAATTCCAATTCATTCTTTACCATTTCTAAATTTTTTCCCATATATTCAATCCAGAAAACTTTATGTAAAGTCATTTCGATTTCGCGTGACCTTGCGTCCTTACGCACACTACACTCTCTGACTTTATTTTGCAACCATTAATATGAATAAATTATATTAATTCCCTTATATACTCAACAAAAGATTTTTTCATGGGAATAATTCAATTCTATTTGTATATTATGTTAATGCCTAATTTCCAATAAAGATAAAATTACTTGTAAATTTTTCAGTTTTCCGTATCTGTCGATTCAAATGCGCCAGTGTTGAAGTTGGACTTTTAGTACGATGATCCGATATGTACGTTTCACACTGCCACGATTCATTTTGAGCCAAATGATGAGCTATCCATGGTTCATCACAATGAAAAATAAGAAGCGGCAATGTTGGTACGACGAAAGAGGTTGCCATAAGAATATGTTGCGCACTCATTAATACAGCAATGATAACAACACGCCATGGTGAAAGCCGCGAAACGTAAACACGTGTAGGACAAAAGCTTCCGTCATTCATATTATTTGATTTTTGGTGATCCTTAGTGAAAGGCTTTCTTAGGACGGACTGATCAATATCACTGGTAATTTCCAACCAGAAATTCAGATCTCGTACTTCTATTGTAACATTATTTGCTCTGGCCAGTTCACAATGCAAACTTTCGAGAAGAATTCGTAAACGAACATTACTCACAGGATCATCGTTTTCTGCAAAAAAAATGACAAAAAAAAAGTTGCTTTAGAGTCCTTTTAAATCAGTTAGAATAAATATTAAACGGATTTCAAAACGAAAGAAAAAGCTCAATTTATTTAATTATAGTTCGTTCTTGCACAATTTCTATGAAGCAGCTAACAAACTACTCAATAATTGTTTTTTGATGAATATTTATTGAAACTTTGATTTATATAGGTCAAAAAGGTAATTTACTAACGATAACTTAACGTAGGTAATAATAAAAGTTCTCGTTCCGTCGCATTTTTGAGCAGTGATCGTAAGCAGAAACAATTATGCACAATTTCTACATTTTTTGTGAAACGTTCGTATTTCAAAAATTCCCAGCTATCACCATAATTAGCAAGTGTAAAATGTGAGCACGAATAATGTTGGGTGCATAGAGACATCACTTGATCCAATGTTGATAATGTATAAATGATATCTTCATCTGTAGCTCGAATCTGTAATTTCGGAAGTCTTTTCATCTTCAAGATTTTATTTATTATAATTGGAGAGCTTCATTTAAAATAAATTTATAAACTATGCTAAACTGTTTTTAACTAGAATTAATTTGCTGGATAATATAAATTTCAAGCTGGTAAAACTAATTAAATTGCTTTCTGAATTCTGTGTTGTTTCAGTAATGAAAGAAAAGGATAACCATATATTTAAGTGATCTGTAATCCTATATTAGTGTATTTTTTTTCAAAG